CAATTTCGGGCCCGAACGCAAAAACAAAGCGGCCGTAAAAGCGGCCCGGCCGCGTCTTAATCAGCATCGCTAGTCTTTGCGCGTTATTGCGTCTGCCGTCTCTCGTGACGCGATGCATACGAAATGAGATCAAAAAGGCGAATTGACAATTTGCTTAATTTTATACGTTCATGCGCGCGGCATCAATGTTATTTTCCTTATTGCCGCGCAGCGTGTAGCCGTTTTGCCGCCTGCATACCAAATCGGCGGCGGCGTCACGCAGAACCTTTATTGGGCCTGAAAGGGCCGCTTTTAAGTACCAGCCGTGCCTTTCGTCCCAAATGCCTGCTGATGTGATGAAATTACATCGCAACACACAGTCGCACCACTATAGAAAAACGATCTCAATACTCCGAAATCTTGTTAAAAGATATTATTTTCTTCATAATTAAATAAGTGTCAAGTTTATTCAAATTTTTTCTATTTTTCTGAGACTTGATTTGTGAAGAATAAAGATTATCAAAAAAAATACTTATATTCTTGATTATATGTTACCTTTTTTTAATTACTAAAGCAGTAAAATGTGTTGAATCTAATTTTTTACTATTTTTTCCTAGTCTAGTACAGCAATTAATTATTTAAAAATTACATGACTCGTCCTGTTTTTCGGGTTATGAAATTAATTTTAGAATAAATAATTTTCAAACTTTTACTGAATTAAATTTTCTGACAGATTTAAATGGTAAATTAATTAATTAATAGCACATGCATTTTATCTTGTTCATTCCTTCCTCTCGACGTTAACTACGTTGTGTGGGGCTAATTTATGTGGGCAGAAACCGTGCAATCAGACGAGCAGCGCGTGTTTGACTTGCGAACGGGTAACAGAAACAAATGAGGCTGTGTGGAATTGGAATGCACGCAGCCGACGGAGCATTAGGGCCAATTGGTCATGTGGTTCTGGCCGGGAAATGACACCGTGGCTATCAATTACCACCTCCACTCACCACCCAGGGGCGCAGCCGACGCCCTTTTTATGGCCTGCATCGTCTGCTGACCACCCCTAGCTGCCTCTTGATCAGTTTCAACTTTTTTCTAGCAAAACTAAGAAACTTTTATTTTCGTAAATGAGTATTTTTTTGTTTCATTTTTGCCTGAAATATAAATCCAAATCTACTATTAATTTTTGTAAATAATCACAATTATTTTGCTATTTCTCTTAAAGAGATTGTATAAAATCTCCTTGTATATTTAATTTTAAAATGAAAATAATTATTTAAATTGATTTTTTGCATCCAGAAATTCAATGGGGAAATCCTGCAACAAATTGTGCAGGAATATTTCAATCAGGAAGTTAGAAATTCCCAAACATCTTAATTTTTGTAATCGCGGAAGGTTGCAAATTTTACTATATTTTGAAATATAAAAGCAATTCACTCTTACAGATATAATTTTCAAATCTTTAAATAACAATAATTTTAGTTTTACTGCAAGAGTCAAGAATGTCATTATGTTAGTAAAATAGCGAACAACATCATTGCGCTTTCCTTTTCTTTATTCCCCGCTCTGGTTTTCCCACATTAATAAATGCGCCGGGGCTCTTTGTACGTCTGTTATGGCGGCCATTGAGCCCCTTGTTTACGGCCTATTCTTTCTTCTTTTCCTGCCGACAACACACTCGAATGCGTGTGTGTGTGCTGTTTCGATGACATAAAATATTTAACAGCGGCACTATAATATAATTTTTTGTCGGCAAAGTGCGCTCTGTGTGTTTCTTTTTACGTAAAGGCGGACATAAAGCAGTAAAGAGCACCTCGCTTGCATGCAAGGCCGAGAGAATCTCCGCTGCCATAACCGCTGCGCCCGGCTTTTACGCTATCCTCACTCACGCTATCCCATCCGTCCGTCCGTCCGTCCGTCCGTCTAGCTGCGCACAATTTATTTAATGCTGCTGCACCCCACGTGCCGCATGCATTTTATGAAGTCGTTAAAATTTCGGTGCGCGCGTAAAATGCATTCATAAAAGCCGACGAGCGCTGGCAAAATAATTGCCTCCCAGGCCGAAATAGGTCAACGACGAGATGTACGCCCATGTTTGTAATTTACTCTCAGCGGATCTTCAGATTATGGTATTACGTAAAGACCAACTTTAACTTGAAGCATAATATTTAAGTAATTAAACCTAGCTATATAGAAGAGATTGAGAAATGTTCGCAAAACTTTTCCTTATATTTGAAATGTAACGTCTTCGACAAGTATGTAGTTTCTGAAGTAATAATTACTAGCTAGAATAAATTTCATACACAGCTCTCACTTTAATTTAGAGTTAAGAGTCTGTTTCAATCATGACCGACATCATAAGGAAGGTGTAATTAATCGTGATCAAATAATTTTTAAGTTGTTTCCTTAATTTTTTTGTAAAAATTTAAAAAATTATATTTATTGCTCAAAATCTACCCCAAACTAAAAATTTAATCAAACATTAATTATTTTTTCTAATGTATATGATTTTTTTTATAGGATTTATTAAATAGATCTCATTGTCAAACCACAATTCAATTCTAGCTTTACTTTATAGTTCTAAAGATTGAGAAAATATAAATTTACTTTCCAATGTTCAAACTTCAAACCCTGCTGCTGTGGAGGATTTTTTTATGACGGAAGGCAAATTGAGTGTCGTGGGCGAGTCACCGCACATAAATAAAATGCATTATCTCTCATGAAACTCGATATTGTCGGGGCGAATTTCGTCTATTCAGGAGTGATTGTCTGAAAGTGAGAGGCGCTCATCAAATTGCTGACGTTGACTGATGGATGGATGGCTTTCGCACAAAAGCATTTTTGGGGCAAATCACTCTGGCGAAAAAGCAAACGCCCCTGCCGCCCTTCTACACACGATATTTGCCCTTTCGCATGGGTGAGAGTAGAAATACGAAACCCGACCCTTTCGCTGGCAAACATACACACACCGGTCCACCAAATACACGCCCCAAAGTGGTCGCACACACACTTCCGAGCCAGCCGCCGACGACACATTTGCACACACAAAAATTGACAAGCTTATTTTCAAACTCGGCCCCAAGGTTGAATCAAGGGTTTCTTGAAAATTTCTCATTGTTTTCTATTATTATAGACTTTTCCAGTTTCAAAATTGATGAAAGCCAAAATTTATTTGAGGAGCCATAGTTTTATTTCATCAATCCTCTCTGAATTACGTTCATTGCAAGGAAAAAGGAAACATTTCACCCCAACGAACTTTTTGTAAAGATTTATCATAATTATCTAGAAATCCAAATAACTTTCCTATGTCTAAACTGATAAACGTCTTTAATATACTTACAAAGTACAAGCTGAAAGTAATTCTACTAGAATTATTCTAGTTACCATTGTGCTCAAAGTATTTATTTTTTTAATTTCTCTTCAAAAATAGAAAATTTTCAACATCTTTTATGATTCTTTAGAATTTCAGATGGAAAGGAATTTTGCCAAATAAAATTATATTACTACACTTCTTATAAATTTTCCCTCGTAAGTTTTTTCTATTATTCAAATATGATTTTTATAAATTATTAATTTCTTGAGCAAATAACCGTTAATTAACCGTTCGTGTTGAGCGCCACAGAAGAGCCCTTTCGCCCTTTTCAGTACAAAGTACTTGTGCCGAGAATGGACCGACAGGTGAAATTAAGTCTCATTTGGTTGTTTGCTCTGGCAGGGCGAGAGACGAGAGAGCGAGTGCGACCGCAAAGGGGTGGCTTGATAAGTAAACACCAAGTGCGCACATAGATGGATAGAGTTATGCGGGCCGTGCTACATACATTTGCTGCTGTGCTCAAAGGGACACACGTTTTTGGTCGCACCTCTGGAAACGCCGGCCGCGCCGACCGCAAAAGACTAATGCAGCAAAAGTATAGACCCTCTCCCGCATCAAAGGGCCAAACGAACGAACGAACGAACGCAGATTATTTTGAATACACGACTCCCTGTCCTCTCCTTAACGAGAAAGATCTCCCTGTAATATGTGAGCACCGTGTGTAATCATTATTAGCGAGATTATCAAAGCCGCAAATATTGTTATTTGGAGATCATTTTAAGCTGCAAACTAACTCGCTCCGCCCAAAGATCACAGGGCGAGAAGTGCGTAATTCACAAGTAGCGCTTGATTGTGATCACACGTACGTGTCCCTTAAAATTATATGTATGGCATAATCCAGCGCTTTGAAATTTCGTCTCGTTGCGTCTGGTTTAGATTAATACATAACGTGCTCCCACAGCGTTTCCCAGCTGACAATTAGATGTAACAAAGTCCAATATCGTTGAATATGTATTTATAAAGATTTGTCTTAAAAAATCTCTGAAATTTAGCCCGTTTTTAAAAGTTACTAGATTCATTATTTAGCACAGGAAGAACTTATGAAATTTAAAATCATTATTGCCAGCAATACATATTCATTAGAATTTTTAATTTTGGTATTGTAAGTATGAGGAGCTTGTAAATTTTAACGTAGTAATTTGTACAAAAATTAATAAGAATAAATTAAATTATATACTTGATTTTTTTTATTTTGTATATTTATCTAAACAAAAATGAAATATATAAATATACTTTATATCCTTTATATTTGTAAATTTTCAGAAGTTACTAAATTTTGAGATTTTTTTTTGCAATTTTCCGCTGCACATATTACCACATGCGAGATAGTGTTGTTTAAGGGCCGCAACTATAAGGGCCAACACAATGGCCAACATAAGGGCCGTCCAGTGAGTAAATTCAAACGCCATCTCCATGAGAACGTTGAAGGTTCTTAGCGCCCTTTGCTCATGATTTGCGGCGGCGCTGCTTCTCAAAACTTTCATTATATCTATTTTGACATTGTTTTATCCTATTCTTGTATATTTCTAGTTATATTTCAATTTTTACATATATCTTAAGAAATGAATTAATATTTTTATCAATTTTTGGTGGATAAATAATTTTGTAATGATGGGATTAGTCGAGGTGCAAAAATGAAACATTCAAATGAAGGGTGAGGATTCTAAACTTTTATTTGTACACTTGTACCCAATCATACCATTACATTAAATTAATAATTAGTATTCAGTCAGTTGTGAGAACAAATAAACTATTTTAAAATGTTAAAATGTTTTACATTACATAGATTTAAATAAAGAGAATTATTTTGCAATTATATTGCAAAAAAAAATGACTGCTTTTTTTAATTACAAATGAGATGCCTTCTTGTCTTCAGACTGCTTGCTCTGCACTGCGGGCTGGTTTGTTTGCATGATATGGATCGACTGCTCCTTGGCGTCAGGAAGAGCCTACCAACAAGAACAAAAATTATTTATAAAAAAAATTTAATAAATTTGTACGACATAACCATTTTAATTATGAAAAAATGATAAATGATATAAAATTTTAACTCACCAGCTTGGGTGCAGAGATGATGAGCACCCCGTCGGAGGACAGTTTGCACTCGACCTTCTCCTTGTCGACCCCTTCGGGCAAGACGTACTTGCGCACAAACTGTCTGGAGATGAAGCCGTGCTGGTCCTGCTTCTCCTCGTGCTTGCCCTCGATGACCACGGCGTTGTCCACGATCTTGACCGAGATTTCCTCCGGCTTGAACTGCTGAACGTCCAGGTTGACCTGGAATTTCGAGCTGTCGTTGGACACGCTAGAGACGCCGCTCTGCGACCTGGCAAGGTGTCTCCAAGGCCGCATGTATGCTCCGTAGGGCAGCATTGGAGGAAGGTCGTCGTTCAGCAAACCAAGCCCAAAGTTCTGGTCGAACAGGCTGATGGGTCTGATGATGTCGTCGAAAATCAGGGGAACCAGAGACATTTTTTGCCTAAAATGAAAAAAAAATATTTAAAAATTAAAATGGACTGTTTTAAAATTAACAAAAGGAAATGAAAAAATATTTAAACTGTAAAAATATTTCAATTACTCGCCTGTTTAATGAAGGCTGGTGAGAATTTAGGTTGCGAAGTTGAGCGTCTGTGCACTCTTCAGTGTAGCTCTTGTGTTTGCTCTGCGATTGCGGATGAGTCGCGCGTTTATATATTGTGTAGGTCGGGAGAGCTGGTGGCGCTCCGAACTTGCTAGACATTACGAGAGTAAGCTAGAATTCTAGTCTAGACTTTTCTGCTCAACAAAGAGCGTTGACTGTTTTAATTTAAAAAAAAAAATTAATTTTTCCATAATTTTTGTCCAAGTTACGTTGAATAACTGGAATTCATCCTAATTAGTAGGTATAGGAATTTAAGCATTATTTACATTTTGTTTAAAAATATAATTTTTATATTTTATTTTACTTTTGTAGATGCATATAAAAAAAATGCCAGATTTTATGCTTTTTGCCACGCACCGCGAGCCATAATTGAGCAAAGGCACGGCCAGTACAACATGTCTTGGAAACACTGCAAGCAACACATTTAATCGCTTTTTCCAACAAATATAATTATATATTTTGAAAATTAAATTTAGAAATGTAAAAGAGCAAAAGTAAAAGACACGTCTCGATAAAAAAAATCAGTTATATGCTTCGCACTGAACCTATATAATTAATTAAATTATATTACATTATATTTTGCCCATTTTCATATTTTCAATTTCTTAATATGAATGATCATTTCTTTTTTTATGTTATAACTGGTCAATCATAGCACGTATAGACTTTTTGAAATTGTAAATAGCAAGCAATGGTTGCACCAGATCTTGCTTTTCTGGTGAGCGCAGGAATTTTCTCGAAACATCCAGACTTAAATATTCGCATGGGTGGCGCTCGAGGCGAGTTATATATAGGCGGGTCGGCGGGATCAATGCATTCAGATACTGAAGTGACTTGCTCGCGGAAAAGAATTTGTGCATCAGCAACATTTGACGGCGAATTGAATTAAAAGCTTCGCAACTTTCACAGAGTGTTAGAGAGAGATTTGATAAATCAGTAAAATCACTAAAGGTGAGTAAAAAATATTTATTGTTAACTCCGCTTTTTTTTCCAATAATCATTAAATTTAGCAGTTTCTTATTATATAAAAATATTGAAATAAGTTAATATTTGCTTCAAGAAGTAATGAATAAGATTCTATTTTGTATCAAATTTTCATTTGCACGAAAATTAAAAATTAAAAATTTTATTTTGCTTAGATGTCTTTGCTGCCACTTCTGCTTGATGACTTCATTCGCCCAACGAGCCTGTTCGACCAGAACTTCGGTCTGGGCGTCATCAATGACGACCTGCTGCCCCACGGCTGCTTCGTGCCGCAGCGCTCGGCCCTTTACCTGCGCCCTTGGCGACACCTCGCCAGGTCGCAGAGCGGCGTCTCCAGCGTGTCCAACGACAACACCCAATTCCAAGCCAACCTGGACGTGCAGCAGTTCAAGCCGGAGGAAATCTCGGTCAAGACCGTGGACAACGCCGTGGTCATCGAGGGCAAGCACGAGGAGAAGCAGGACCAGCACGGCTTCATCTCCAGACAGTTTGTGCGCAAGTACGTCTTGCCCGAAGGGGTCGACAAGGAGAAGGTCGAGTGCAAACTGTCCTCCGACGGGGTGCTCACCATCTCTGCACCAAAACTGGTAAGGAATCATTTTTTTTTTAGAATGAACTAATTTTAATCAAATTTAAATATTAAATGTAAATTTAATATTAAATTTGCAAATTAAAAAAAATGAAACCAGAGCTGTTTAAGTGCAAAACCAAATAAATTAGATCCAGATTCAATGTTTCATAAAAATATACAGGTTAAAAACTTTAAATTTTACTTTAATTTAATAAAAATTATTATTGTGATTTTAGGCTTTGCCACAGTCTGAGCCGGAGAAATCCATTCCAATTGTCCTGACCAATCAGCCAGCAATGCAACAAAAGCCGAAAAATGAAGAACCTGCTGTCGAGGAAAAGAAGATGGAGCAAAATTGAATGCTAAGAAAATTAAATCTCTGTGTCTAAGTGTTTATTTGCTACTTTTTATTTATTTCAAAAACGAGTTTAATTGTGTTCAAGCATCGGAATAATATTATCATAATATAATATTGAAATGTGAAATTTTGTTCTATGAACCAAAATTGACTTGAGTGTGTTTTGTTTAACTGAATCAGGATGTATCTACCACTCGAATGTGTGTGCTCCATATCTGCATTAACTTTTGAGTCTGATTTTGAGTATGGTGTAAAATTAAAATAATTTATTCAAGAAATAAACACAACTATGGAAATTAAAAGTACTTGAGACGTTTCACTAATTGCCTCCATTCAATAAGTTTGAATATTTACAAATGTTTAAAAATTATGCATATGCAAATTTCAATACAACAAAGTAAATTTATTGTATAATAAAATTTATTATATAATTTTTAAATATCTTAAAGGTATAGAAATTATGTTTCTATTTCTTTCAGATTTTTTTGTAGATGATAGACAGTTACACAGCTTTATAAAGTGTATTGTGTGCAGTGATTATTTAAAACGTTTTCTGTATATAAGTTTAAATGTACATTATATAAATAGTGATCTCCTGTTTACAAAATAAAACTTCTTGAATAGTAATTTCTTCAACTCGGTTTTATTCCAAATTTTCAGTTAATTATAGATATTACGGATTTTTTATATTTTAAAGTAGCTTTCATTTGATTTTGTGCCAATTAATTAAATTCTCGAAATTTTTCTTATATGTTTTAAGCCTCAGCTTCTTGAATAGTGAAGTTTGGGTTTTATCCGAGAGATGGCAAACGTCGTGACTTTTTTACAGCTTTCCAGCGCTCGTTCCCTTTTTAGTGAATGAGTAATGGTGACGTCACGATTCTCTGTGGGCATTACTACTCCGTGTTGTTCGCCGAGCAAAGCAAGTGCTCCCATTTGTAGTGTTTTAATTCTCGGCCGGGTTTTTGTGATAAAAAGGTGCGCGCGCAATGCAGCAAGCCCCAGTGTCGTGTATACCAACAAACAACAAGATGTCAAAGGCGAAAAAGGTGCTGGACGAAGCCAAAGAAATCGGCAACCCGGAGCTCGACCTGATGGACAAGGGCATTTCTTCGTTCGACGAAATGCCCGGCCTGTGTGAGTCCCAAATGAAAAGTCTCTTCGCGCCGAGGCCATGCCTAAATAAGGAAGCTTGTTCTCTCTTCTCTCCGCGCTCACAAAGTACAATGGCCATTAGAGTAAAGTGTAGGTGTGGTCGCGCGGCTGTTCCCAAAGGGCCAAAATTAGCCCTCGAATGCCAATATTTATTTTGAATGTATGCAACCAGCGGGCACACGGCCAAGAAATGACGAACCCCTGCCGTCCCTTCGCACTTAAAACGCTTTAGACGCTAACCAGACCTCTTTTTCCTCATCCGCAGATGATTTTTTTTGCATACTTTCCGCATAGCTTTACCCCATCAGCTGATTTCAATCATTCAATTGAAGAATATTATTTAAACTGTCTGCTAACCATGACTCTATATTTGATTAATTCCTTTTCAATTAAGTCAAAACTTACCTGTTATGATTTTTTTTTCAAAAAATTGCTCTACTATATCTTACCTTATTTATATAAAAAAAAAAAATATAGTTTAGTTTTTTTATGATTTCATTGAGTCCTTTTCAAAGATTTTTACAGGCATGCAAAAAAAAACTTCATATTAGGAGTAGCAAATTTTCTAGTCAAACAGTATCAATTAAATTTAAATGAATCTCTTCATACTTAAAATATTAAATTATGCAACTAAAAAAAATTGAATTCTTATTATTGTTTTTTTTTTTAGTGTAGTTTCATGTATTATACTGGGTTTTTTATTATTTTTTTTTTACTATTAGCTTCTTTTTAAATTATTGTGGTTTTCATAGGCAGAATAGTTTTTATAATAAAAATCAAATTCTTTAAAGGGATTAAATTTTCAGAATAATAAGTATATCTAATAAAAATGAAATGTAATATTTAATAAAAAGAGCTTTAATATTATTTTATATTAAATAAATGTTTAAATTAAATTTAAACAAAATATTTAAATCAATGTAAATCAATAATTGTTTTCATTACAAATAAAATAATTTTATCTTATTAAACTTTGATTATCTATTTTATTATACTTATTATAATTTGACACGGAACTTATTATAATTCTGTGCGTGTGAAAATAAACCGTTTTTTTTATAAATTTCAAAGCATCAAAATGCTATTATCCAGACGCTCCTGTCTCGTACATAATTGTCATAATTTTAATTTTGTTTATTATGAAAAATAAACATTCCCGATGGATATTAACTTTATTCATTTTTGCATAATAAAATTAATTGTCTGTGCCATAATTGAAGGGAGAACAATCTTGCTTGAAGAACTAAATTATATTTTTTGAGACGTTTAGTCAAAAGTGCTAATTTAAACTAAATTATAATTGGATTTTATTAAAAATTGTTCATTTTCTACAGTCAACATGCAGAACATCACCCGCCTGACGCTGAGCCACAATAAAATCCTTAGTAAATATAATATTATAGATAACACGAACTGAAAATCTAATGTTCTTCTTTTTTGCACTTCAGCAATTCCACCTGGTTTGGCTAACCTGATCAACTTGGAGATTTTGAATTTCGCCAACAACCAAATCGAAGAGCTGCCCACCTCACTGTCATCCATGCCAAAACTCCGAATCCTCAATTTAAGGTTCGAAAATTTTTTTAACAAAAAGAGAAAGATTTTTATAAAATAAAATCAACTTTTAGCATAAATCGGCTGAACTCTCTGCCTCGAGGATTTGGCGCCTTCCCGGCCCTGGAGGTTTTGGACTTGACCTACAACAATCTCAACGAAAGCAGCCTGCCCGGCAACTTCTTCATGATTGAAACCCTCCGAGCCCTCTATCTGGCAGACAACGACTTTGAGTTCCTGCCTCCTGAAGTTGGAAATCTGAAGAACTTGCAAATCGTAAATTCCCCTTTAAATTTTTTAGATGGCAAATAAATGTTTTCAAACTAGCTCGTTCTGCGTGAAAATGATCTGATTGACATCCCGAAAGAGATTGGCGAGCTCCAGCGTCTCAGGGAACTGCACCTTCAGGGCAACCGTTTGACGATGCTCCCACCTGAGCTTGGTTAGTTATTTTATGAAAAGGAAATTTTTGTAAAATAATTTTAATTTACAGCCAACCTCGATATGGTGAGCAGCAAGTCGGTTTTGAAGCTGGATAGCAACCCCTGGGTCACTCCCATTGCTGACCAGCTGCAGGTCGGAGTGTCACACGTCCTCGAGTACATTCGCACCGAAACTTATAGATAGTAAGTTTTTAACTATAATATTTATAATGGAAATTTAGAATCTCTAATTAATTATTCTGTTTTTACATCAACACAAACTTATTAAAAATTAGTTCCATTTTTAGAGTTGAAGAAAATGCATTTGTCTCTGTTAAGAGTATTTTTTTTAAAAAAAAGTTCAATTTCAATTAAGATAAACAAAACAAAATAAAAAATGTCTTAATTCAAATAACTTGAATTTTTAAACCCCCGACCAGGGGACAGTTTGGTTGAGAAGCACAAATGTGCCAAGGGCACTCGACTACGGAAAGTGACCACCCAATAGCCTAATAAACTCACGTGTGCTATAAGATAGAAAAAAAATTAAATAACCCTAATTTAGTTTCAAATCCAGTTTAATAATGTATCACCGGGCATTCTTGGATCTCTTGGATTTCATTTCTATTAATATTCTCACTAATATTTGAATTGATTAATTTTTATCATTTTTATGTATTTAACAACACTAAAAGTATTTAAAAATAAATTTTTCAGTCTCTACAACCGCCACATCTCTAGCCGTGGAGCTCCCCCTCCAAAGACTATTGACAAGAGCAAGAAGGCCTCTCGTCTGCCCCGAAGACAAAGCTAGTCGCACCGAATCAGCATAAAAAAAATATATGTATTCAGTGCCTAATGGAAAATTGAAACTAAAATTTCTAATCAATTCCTAAAGTAATTTTCTGCCTTGACGCACTCTGCGGTGCCTTTTTAAAACTTACAAATACTGATGCCATAAAACTGCCTTTATTTTTTGTCAGTATTAAGGAGAATTTTTATTAAATTTGTTAGTCTAATAAAACTTAATAGAGAATCTTGTTTGTACTGCTTACTAATGTTTAATATTATTGAATTTTGTTACTTTTAATTTTGGATTAAAAATAAATTTTAGACAAATGTACTAAAAATGAATTACCTGTTTTTTTTTTTTAATATTCACGTATTCTTAGAATATCATCTCTTTCATAAAATTAATTAATTATGTATCTTTTATAAATGAGCGTAAAAAAAATCCATTTATAAAATTAACCTCTGCTATACCTTAAACTTAAATAACTTCTGGAAACAATGTCAATACAACTGAGTTGAGGTCTTCCTTAAAGAGTAGACGAATCAAAATGTGGGTTAGCTTCAGTCCAAGTGAGTTCATCGGTATAGTGCACATCATAATTAGTGCTATGAGATATCGCGAAGACGTGCTGCTCACAGAGGAAAAGGGAAGGGGCCGACGAAGAAAGACCTCAAAGGCGGAGCTTCTTGCCAGCTGGCGGACGCACGGCCAGCGGACACAGTTAACCTGGCGAACAGTCAGACAGTCGGTCTTCTCGCAAACAGGTGGTCGGTCGGCTCGCGGTGCTGCACCCACATCTAACATGGGTGCGGTTGCACGTTTCTAACTCTCTTAGTGCGTCATTGGCAAAGGACACTGCGTGAAAATGTAAAAAATATAATAATAGTCGAAAAATCCACCATGCAGTCAGGTGAAGTGTGTGTGCGGGTGTTGTACAACTTCGACTACACCACCAAGGATGGCCGGCTCGTGTCCATCAGGCAGAGCGAGAAGCTGTTGCTGCTCAAACGCACCAACAAGGACTGGTGGCAGGTCAGCACCATAAATTAATTAATTGTTACAAATATAACAAGACCTCGATCATTATGTACACTGGTCAGGTTATACCTTGAACATTATAATAATAAACACATTAACTGCACACACTATAGATATAAGCACACACGCTTTTCAATTTAACATTCATAAGTACAAGAATATTTAAAATTGTTTGATTTTTAAATACAATCAACGCTGACAAAAATAAAATTTAAACTAATAAAATCATTTATTATCATTATAAAGAAATCAATTTTTAAATAGAGTTTTAAAAACTTTTTACAAACAGCTTAAAAAGAAAATCTGCATTAATTTCAGGATTGGTATTTTAGATTTTGTAAAGTATAATTTTTTCTATAACCTGTTTTATTCACTTTTTTTAAAATTATTTTGTGGTATTCCATAGCTATGCAGAAATTGAAATTATTTACAGGAGAGGAATGGTTTTAAAAAGATGCGACCAAAATGTTATAATATGAATTTTTTCGTATTATTTAATTTATTGAATCAGAGGCGTTGACAAAATTCCAGCTCCTCTTTCCTGTTTGGATCGTTTGTAGGCCGGAGATTCAATACGAGCCTTTCTATATGTAGTCAGCAGCGATTGACACCTCTGATTTACACTTCCTGAAGTGCCTAAAATTTGCATTTAAATTATCGAGCCCACCAAACATGGATGTGCATTATTGCAGTACATCAAGAAGCGCATTAACTTGTCTATGCCAACTAAAAACAGTGCCTGTGCCTATCAATTTAAATTTCTTTAAAATAAAATTATGCTATTATTATTATTACATAAAAAAATGATAATTGAAAACAATTTTTCATAGACAATTTCGAGAAATTATACAAAAAATAAAAAAATTAAAGTATTTTTATTTATCAAAAATAACTATAAGATTTCCTAAAATTTACAAAAAAAAAAAAAACATTTTGCAATTTTTTTTATATTTTTCCATTGCTTTTAAAAAAAAAATCAATTTAGTTAACCACACCAGTTGATATGTTAAATAATTATGATATATGGTATGAAGAGCGAGATGAAATTAGGGTGGGCAAATTTTTGATTTTATTTTCCAGGCGCCTAATAATAAAACTTTTATTTGTTTGCAGCTGAAATTCGATGACAGTAGTTGATTTATGGCGTGAAAAGCCAAATGAATTGATGAAAAAATGATATTTTTAAAACCAATTTTAAAATTACCGCTTATTTATCTTCAAATTTTAAACACATAATTTTAATTGAAAGTACATTATTTCATTTTTTCTAAATGGGTGATAAAAAGAAAAAAAAATTGAAACAGAAGTGAAATTTGAGTGTTGTTTTATTATTTACTCAAATGTGTGAAATAGGTGATGTTTCGTCACATAAGTGTTTTAAAACCTCAAATTAAACTTATGAAAGGCGCTATGCTTTGTTAGTGCATTTTTAGCTCTTTTATGAAAAATTAGCTAAACAGAAGTGATCACCAATTTTCCTTATCTCTGAATTAAAACAAATCTACTCCACTGATAATTAACAAACAAAAAATGAAATTGTTGCAGGTTCGTCGCGACGCGGACACAAAGCCGTTCTACGTGCCTGCGGCGTACGTGCGGCAAATCCCTCCGGCGTTCATCCCCGTCCCGAAACACGAGTACACCAACATGCCGGCGGGTCCGGCCTGCTGCCACGAGGAGCGGCGCCAACTGACCAGCGTGCTGCGCAACGAACTCATCACCGGCAACTACAACCTGCGGGCCGATAAGCAGCTGTTTAATCAGCACGTCTGTCCCGCCGCTGATAAGGAGCCAGCGACGGGCGTGCGTCGCAATTACTCGGTCGTGGGCCCCACTGGCAAGAAACGCCCGGTGCCGTCGCCGCGCCAGTTGTCCAAGTCGTTGGAGACGCTGGCCGAGGAGATCCAGTTCCGGCCATGGACCCAGCACGACAAGAGCTGTGAGCAGACCTCGGACTACAACACGCCCTCGCCGGACTACCTCGACTCCCCGTGCTGCGAGCAGGACATGTTTTGGAAGAAGATCAACCTGCAGTCGTCGGCTGGCGACAACTCTGTCCAGCGCAGCAGCAGCTTCAAGTTCCGCAGCTTCCGCAGAAACAACAATGTGCAGCCGCCGGCGCAGTTCGAAGACTCGTCCGACTCGGTGGCCAGCAGGAGTCTCGAGTCGCTGGTCGATTCCGGCGCCGAAGCGTGCTCGTCCTCCTCCTACGAGTGGGACAAGTCGCCAGGCGAAGACAATTTGGCCGAGGTGCGTTATCGCTCTTATCACACATGCTGCAATTTAGATTACGCTTCTATACTATTTTCGTGTTCATTTTGATTTTACTGCTCAGAGTCGTCATCAAGTTTGAGAAAATTGACTAATTAAATTACAAAAATTATCATAAACGGAGAAGAAAATTTCTGCCTTGGTATGGTAACAAGAAGGCTCCTTAGTGATTGGTTTAATTTAAATATAGACCAAAAATTAATTTTTTCCTGGAATTAAAAGATACAGCCAATTGTTTTTGTGAGTAATTTTAATGATTTTTGTTTGTTTTATCAACTTCTTTTATTTTTAAATTATTTATTTTATTTTAAATATATTAAATTTATTACTATTCTTTTTTGAACCATTATTCATGGTTAATTTTAACTACACCCAGAAGTTATGACCAGTGACTTGATTTAAAAAAAAAAATAAGCATTAACAAAAAATAAGTTTATCTTTCATTTCTCAACTTAAATTTAACTTTAATACCATCTACCATTATTAATTAACATATTATACCTATAATCAGTGACTAGTGAGGATTATCTTTAATTTTCATCCAGTATTTCACTGATTTTGAAATTAAAAAGGAAATAGAGTAATCATTACATACATTAATTTGTTTTTTTTTTAATTTTTTTTAGGTGATGCTTAGAGTTTCAATACCGCACGCAGCTCTGGCGTTCAAAAACCAGACGTATCAGTCAACGGACGACGAGGACAGCGACGTGGACGACGGGGCCACCGTGGTTCGCACGCGCCCAAGGTCCTCGTCGGACACTGGATTAACTCAGGAGCAGAGCAAGAAAGAGTCGGCGCACCTCAGCCGCAGTGAATCTCACCGGGTGTTCAACAAAGAGCAGCCGAAACCGCTGATCGCTTTGAAGAGAAACCCGAAGTTGGTGAGTAAAATTTCCTTTTCTTTCATCCTCCATCGCATTCCGCGAAATAAGCAGATCAGCACCGATTTGCACGCGTCAGCGATTTATTTGTGGAACCGGTCAGCAGATTTGCACCGAATCGCGGCCTTGAAATGAGAAATTATTTCGCTCTCAATTACTTGACGAGGGAATTGAAAGATAAATTAGTTTATGGTGGAATATTTTTACAGACTTATGTATTGCGTGAGGGAAGAGAAATTGCAATTTTTCTCCACGTCATATTCAATCAAATCACTCGAGAACAGGAACTGTGCTTTGAATTTATCGCTAGTATGTGTTTGCTTTTTTCTGTGAGCGACGATTTAGAAAACGCCCTTCTTATCTTATCTGCAAAAGTGCGCGGGCAGGACACTTTTAGGTTGTTGTGTGTGTGTGATTAGAATGCAGGTAATGGATGATTGAATCCGCAAGTGGAAAAATGAAATATTATATTTTTGGTTTTTAAAACATTTAAAGAAGAAATAACCTAATTTGGTATTTCACAAGAATTAAGAGAACAACGCTTGCCTTGGGCCGCGGAAATGAAATTTTATTGCACTCGCCGGAGAGGAGCTCATAAAAGCAGACACGAGTTCTTCTCTTGTTAATTAGGCCACTTGCATGTGTAAAATTTCAACAGCCTCTGAGAATCAATTTGTGTCTGCAGCTCTCGTATTCTTAATTGCGGCCGGTCCATTTTCCAATTTTTGTGGCAAAGAAAATTCTGTGCAAATTTAAAAAACTAAATAGTAAATAAATAAATCATTGAGAGGCGTCTTGTTAAGAATAAAAAGTAATGATCTGACTTTTAACTTTTAACAAGGAAAAGATAGAAAGAAACTCGTCTTTAGCTGACAAATAAGTTGTAGCCACGCAACAAATGTGTGTCAAGCTGCAGTGACCTTTATAATATGTACGCACGACAGAGAAAAAGGGACTGACTGACTTATAATCTACATAAAGAGAGGCGGACTGAGCAAACGAGAGATAATTTGAATAAAAATCTCGATATTTTACTCTAACAATAAAACTATTGATTTGCATACAAAAATCCGAAAACAATAATTTAGAATGAGCAAACGATGACTCATGAGAGGCTCTTAAAAAATTTCGGGAGGCGCAGCCGTGCA